GGCCGCATCCGGCCCCCGGGCCTTAGGTTGCCTATCCCTGATTTAGAAGAAGGCAGGAAAGACAGGGATATTTAAAGGTAAGGTAAGGAAGGAATAAAGGTGAGGAAATAGGAGGAGGAAGAAGGGATTTGAGAAAGAAGGGGGAGGTTATAGCAATAGCAAGTATATTTCTATACTGCTTATCAGTGTACTAACGCTCCCTAAGTGGTTTACAATGTATAAGCTAATTTCCCCCAACAAGCTGGGTACTCATTTTAGAAATTTCGGATGGATGCCAGGCTGAGTGGACCCTGGAGCTCCTGGAATTGAACTCACAACCTTGTGTGAAGTTGAAAGCTTTCATAGCCGGAATCCATAGCTTTTTGTGGGTTTTTGGGCTGTGAGCCGTGTTCTAGAAGAATGTATTCCTGACATTTTCCCTGCACCTGTGGCTGGCATCTTCAGAGAATGGTGGCATGGAGGTGTGTGGGGTATTTATACTGTGTGACCCTTGGTTGAGAGGATTAGCATGTAAATCTGTGTATTGTGCAGGCATTCAACCACTGTGCCACCAGGGCTCCCTGTTAGAAAATTAGATGCAAGAATTAGTGACAAGAAAACAGGGATATAATTAATATGAAGTGAAGAAAGTACATGACAGTTTATACATTTTATATGGTTTGTTTTGTTTATGTTTCTGTAATGTGTTTTATATTAGTAGGTATATGTTAGAATGTGCATAATATGATGTACAATAAACATTTAAAAATAAAGACATAATGAAGCAGCTTTTTTTGGCAAGAAAAATAATGTAAGGAATAATGGTAAGAATTTCTTTTTAAAATGGAAACAAGAAAAATGTAATTTTCCAAGCTCTGATCTCACAAGTGTTCTGTGAAATGGATGTTTTATGACTGGCCACCCCACCCACTATGGCAGCCATTTGGTGAACTGGCAAATCCACTATGGCAGCCATTTTGTGAACTGCTCACAGCTGCCATGTTTGACAGTGCCTTAAACACTTTTCCGATATTCCAAATTGGAACAAAATATTAGAGAAATCAGAAAATTATACATAAGGGGCGGAGATGTCTTCTATGAAATTTATTCCCCACTCTGCTTTTTCTTTCAGATTGTAGCCTATAATCTGAACACATAGTTACTCACTAAACATTGTGAGATTTACTTCAGAGCAAACATGCATATGACTATGCTGTCATATTTCTATTCCAAGTATCTGTTCATCTATTTTGAAACTGCAGTTATCATGGGGTATTTTAAAATAATGACAGGTTGGTATGGTTCAGATTAGTTTATGTTTAGTGAGAATCTACTGTCATCTCTTTGAATTTACAGTTTTGAGCAATGTATGAGTGTATATGATTAATTTATTTTTGAGTAATACAAAGTGAAGCAATGCAATAATTAAACAGTCACTATTTAGTAGTCAGTAATTAAATAGTCAAGCCATTTTTCCCCAGAAAAAGAGAATGATTCTGAAGAAAGAGAAATGGTGTAATTCTGCTAATGTCTTTCAGAAGTAAGCATCATTACATTCAAGGGGATTTACTCTAAAGTAAGTTTCAGCTAGCTCTGTTTAATACTTGATGGAAGAATGCCAGTTAATACTAGGGGCTGTAGGCTGTATTTCAGAGGAAGGAATTGGCAAAACCACCTCTGAATATTCCTTGCCTAAGAAAACCCTGTGAAATTCATGGGGTCACTGTAAATTGACAGGAGACTCGAAGGCACATTCACTCACTGAAGTTTGCGTAAGAGAGACAGTATGGTGTAGTGGTTTGAATGTTGGACTATGACTCTGGAGCCTAGGGTTCAAATCCCTGCTCAGCCATGGGAACCCACTGGGTGACTTTAGGCAAGTCACGCTCTCAGAGGGATGCAAAGGCAAAATCCCCTATGAACAAATCTTGCTAAGAAAACCCTGTGATAGGTTCCCTTTAGGGTCGCCATAAGTCAGAAACAACTTGAAGGCACACAACAACAATAACAAAATTTGTATGAGCTTGTAGACAAAATGTTTTACTAGCTTTTTCAGTAAAGTATTATTATTGTGAGTCAACTTTTGACATGGAATGGAGGAAAAAATACTTCCCCACTATTACTAAATAATCAGGAGGTAATGGTAAAAACATCACAGTAATGTATAGGGGACAAGTAGGTCGGGGGATCCCAGTGACACACCTAGTCTAACCCAGGGAGTTAGAGCGATTCATGGAAATAATTTATCTTGAGGAAAAATCCAAGAGCTTACAGTAGATCGTTCTGGGCATTGGTGACAGCTGGTGGTTCCTAACTCAACTGAGCAATGAAAACTCTGGGTCTAAGTTTGGACTTTAAATATGCTGTCCAGGATGCATTACTTCTCTAGATGAGGTTGCAGGTAAAGAACCATCCAAAACTGATAAAAGGCACTCCTGGGATGTGATAGATTGGATTTGGGTTGGAATTTGCCTTGGCAGAGCTATTTTTGAAATATCTGAAAACAAAAACAAAACAACGACAACAAAGGTCACATGGAGATGGCCATGGGGATTCAATTTGAAATACCATAGCATATGATATACAAGAGCCAGCCTGGTCTAGCATCTTGAGTCTTGGACTAGGACTGTGTAAGGGACCAGGATTCAAATTCCCTCTTAACCATGGAAACCCATTGGGTGACCTCAGGCAAATCACATTCTCTCAGCCTTAGAGGAAGGCAATGGCACCCCTCCCTACAGAAAGCTTATCAAGAAAACTCTATGATACGGTCACCTTAGGGCCACCATAAACCAGAAAAAACTTGCAAGCCCAAAGTAACAATAACAAAGCATATGATAACCCTATCACCCTTGAATTTGCTTAATTATTTTTTAAAAGTCATATAAAGCAATGCTAACAGCTTGTGGTATGACATTCAGAGATTAATCAGGTTGTATCAAATGCCTTTGGGCACAGGGCAAACTAGTAGTTGGAAAAAGACATGTAAGTGAATAAATGAATGAATAAATGAATGGTTGAATGACATAGTTCTTCCTTTGTCCTGACACTATTGCCACTTGGTTTTATTAAATGACTCCCAGATTCTAGTGCAACCTTCCTCAACATGTTTTCACCTGTTTTAATTAGCTTTTGCTTTGCGCTTCAATTAATCTGTTTATGTTTTAACTATACTTGCTTTATTTGATTTTATTGTTAGCCACTATGGCTCCCAGAATCCCAGTGACCATACTAGCTGGACGTTCTGGGAGCTGGAGTCCTAGAATGACTTTTCCTGTCTCTGAAAATAAACCTGGTGCTCTTTAAATGTTTTGGGCAACAATTCGAACTATCTGCAACGGATGAAAGAAAGCAGCCCATTCTAGCGTTTGAAGAAAATAAATCCCCTCACAATGCCATTTATAATTTCATAAACTTTTCTCATGTCACCTCCTTTCTGAACGAAAAACCTCTATTTAACTTTTTTGTGTAGATCAGATGTCGATCCTTTTAAGATCCTCAGTTCTATGAACTGCTGAGCTGGCAGTTTTAACACAACGTCTGTATGTTTTATTCTGTGGTGTTGCACTACTGATGCAGGCTCAGGCGAGGCGAGAGATCGGCTACGTCTGAGTATTCTTCATGAGCGTACAGTTCTCTGGTTATAATCAAATAAAGGGTTGCAACTTGCTAGACTGCACATAGTTTCTGCTTGTTCTACAATCTTTGTAATATCTCCAAGAGCAGGTCTTTGCATCTTCCTGCAAAGAAACGTGAAATTGCACCCTGTACCCTACTACACTAGTGCCAGTGAGACATAACTGTTAAGCCAGCAGTTGGCATAATTGTTGCATAGGGTGAAATACCATTATGAAAAAGAGCTGAACATCACAAACCCCAGAGAGGAAATGGTTCTGCTGATGTCTGTTGGGTATCATAGAGGCACTTCATTCCTCTCATTATCACCTGTGGCTAGTACAAACGCATCTAAAAATTCACAATAACCTTTTAAAAATTATAGACTACAATTAAGAGACGCTCCAAGAACAAGGCTGATTTCTTGTCCACGAAACTGCTGCTGGTATACAGACAAAAATGACTGTGTGGCAGGCAATCTTTTGGCCTTTTGGAATGCAGCTCCCATAACTAACATTGACCATGGTGGCTAAGGCTTATGGGAACCATAGTAAAAAATATCTGAGGGCACCAGGTTACCTGTCCCTTTTGTGACTGTGATATATATACACACACACACACACACCAATATTAATTTATATGTACCATGACAAACCTCCTCTGAGCAAATCTTGCCAAGAAAACCCCATGGTAAGTTTGCCTAAGGGTCACCATGAGTTGGAAACAACTTGAAGACACACAACAAATATTTGTATGCCACTGGCTATCCCATATAGCACCCTAAAATACAAAAATATGCAATTCAGTTGCACTGATCAAAAAGGAATTATCCATGTCTAGCTCTTACTCCAGAGGAAGGTAATCACTGCTGTTTGATCACAAGTCCCATCAGCCCCACAACTCCCATCAGCTTCAGCCAGCATGAGCAATGGTCAGGAATTATGGGAATTATAGTTCAAAACATATGGCGAGCATTGGGTTGCCTCCCTCCGCACATCTATCCAGATTGAGAAAGCACATGACCAATGATTAATCCATAAAACTTAATTTGTAACCCTACACAACCCAAGTATTAATTTTAATGTTAATTTTAAACCTACAGTTAACTTGTTAATGTTATTTTAGTGAAAATTATGGATGTAGCAAGTCTGAGACTAATTGAAAGATAGAAGTTGGTAGCAAGAACATTGTTAAAGAGGAAGTTTGTTGTTGTTGTGTGCCTTCAAGTCATTTCTGATTTATGTCAACCCTAGGTTTCCAGCGTGGTGTTGTGGTTTGAGTATTGGACTGATTCTGGAGAGCAGTTTGATTCCCTGCTCAGTCATAAAACCCACTAGTTGACCTGGGGCAAGTCACACACTCTCAGCCTCAGAGGATGGCAATGGCAACCCCTGAAGAAACTTGCCAAGAAAACCCCATGATAGGGATGCCTTAGAGTCGCCATGAGTCAGAAATTACTTGAAGGCACAGAGCAACAACAAAGGCTGTAACTGGGTTTTCTTGGCAAGTGGATGTTTGCCCTGGTCTACCTCTGAGGCTGAGAGATTGTGACTTGCGCTGTGCAAGATGATCCCATGGGCTTCCTCTGCTGATTGAGAATTGAACCCTTGGTCTCCCCAGCCCCCTATACCACATTGGCTCTCAAGGAGGCAGTATGGTAATTAATTTTTAATGAATTATTTCCAGGCTCTGGTTGCTGCTTTCTTATATATTTACTCAGAAGTTCACATGAGCTGAAAGCAGCTTTTCTGTATTTATACAGGTGTGGCTAAGATTCAAGCTATGCATGGTGGCTTGAAGCAAAATCATTTTGATTTCAACAGAGTTTGCCTGGATTTTTAACATCTTTGCCTGATGAAGAAGCTAGTGGAGCTTTGAAAGCTTGTGTTATGTATTTTGTGCTTTTTGGTTGGCCTTACAACCGTATCATTGTCTTGTGGTAGAATTCAAAGACTTAAGTCCTGTTGGTCTGGAAAATCAGTCTGCAAAGGGATCTTGCAGCAGCTTTGAAAGGTAGAAATTGGTCGCATGAACTTTCGTAGACTTGACCCTACTTCCTCAGATGCATTTGGATTTTGTTTTGTGCATTTTGGATGTTATCATTCTTTGCTGGAAGTTGTGTGGCACAGGATGACATGCAGAGAAATACAAAAGCGGATGACGTGAATGAAGGCATTGTGGAACCAAAAGGGAACCATCATGAAAGGAGGCAATTATGACTCCAATGGGATTGAGGGGATACCACCTTTGGATGTATTCAAGTTGCTAATGGAATTTAAAGTTTACTTCCTGGACTGAATCTCCCAGTATCCACATGGCCAGAAGGAGGAGGCTCACCTGCATGAACACCCTTCCTTACCAT